ACTCATTTGAGTCCAGTTTTTCTCCCGCCCAGGCGGGGGGGGTTGGACTTGAAGATCTACAAAGTCCCTTCCGACCCAACTTCTACGATTCTATGATTCTATGATATGTACTTGGAAAATATCCAAACAGGCATTTCATTTTGGTCATTATAAGTAATTTTACTGAGAAAAATATTCTTGTCCAAACACTTCTTTTCCAAAATTCCATCTAGACACATTAATTTTACGCTACCCATAAAAAAACCCTACTTTTTTCTCCATCCTGAATCTGAAGTATTGGCATTAAAAGATGCTGTCCTCCTGTAGGAGGATCTCTGAATGGTCTACATATCTTCTTAATTGCAATGAAAAATAGAATTCAATCCAAGTTACCTTGATAGACACATGGTCAGTTTTCAACCAAAAGCAAATTTCACATATAGTTGGCATTTAACTACAGAATATAGTTTTATATAAAAGAAGCCTTGTTCCAGTTGGGAAATAATTTGGCAAGTATTCTCTGTGGCAATGAAATATTACTCTAATAATCATTAATTATCTAGAATTGCAAATTACCTGCAAGAAACAAATTCAAAGCAGGTACTCAAAAGAACATTTTTATTATTTTATATGAATGAACCTGCTAATACAATTATTTATTATTCGTTTCCAAAATGCTATTGAGCCAACACTACCAAACCAAGAATCAGACAGATCAAAAGACACTTACTGAACTATGGGTTAGATCCTTTGGTTCTATCAAGTACACATAAGTACTATCTTCAAATATGCCACTAGAATAAGAGAAAGAAAAAAAGTAGAAATTTAGGAACATTACAGCAACCGAGAAATAATTTAAACTGAACAAATAGTTTGGGGTAAAAGTATTCCACCTTTAGGCCTGGCAAAAAGTTGTTATAAAATAAATCCACCACTGTATCTTGCAAGATATAGTAGTAATGCACTTGAGCAAAATGAGTTTTGTATTTTTCAGTGTACTTGATAATGGCACACCTGATAATAATGAAGAGTAAAGATTTAGAGAATGGCTTTCCTAGCACACCAGTTAATCTCAGAAAATAAACACAGATGTGTTTCCTACACAATCATCAAAGAATTCTACTGATAAACTACAATCTTACTTTATACCCCAACCAAAAAACCCCCCAACAGATTAATTTTTCCAAATTATATCTATATACCTAAGTAATCACAGTAATATCAAAAGAATCACAATAAGAACTGATATGTGATTCTTGTCCACGCTTTTAATCTCTTATTGACTGAAGAACCTTAATGAACACATTTTTTTCCTATTTACAATTTGCAAAGGTTTCACCCACGAGAAACAAAAATCTTTAATTCCACTGGTGTTCAAAAATGGCTTAATTGCAGTGGTAAAGCCTGGTTGGCTTTATATTGTACAGAGGCTGGCTTTAATCTGTAAAAGCTTCCTCACGTTGTCCTACCAATGGCACCTCAGTCCTGTTTCATGACATTTCTGTCTGATCTGCTGTGAGAAAGACACTACAGGACACTGCAAAACTAAAAGAAAACAGAAAAATCATTCTGGAGATACAGAGAAACCATCAATCAAAAGTGAGGGTGGAGGGCATAACAAGTCTAAAAATGTGTTTCTTAGCTGATCGTGGTAAGTAAGAAACCAGCATAAAATGCTCTAAATAGGACCACTAAAGCACTACAAGCTGTTCTTTAGCTGAGATTACACGGCCTGTATTTCTGAATGACAAAATGCTTGAGCACTTGGGGAGTTTCAGTTTGTCTCATGTTAAGAGGTGAGACCCAAGAGCAGCAATCAGGTAACAGAGTCGCTTTCAAGAAATGAAGACTTGCACTTACTGGAGGCCATTGCATGTTGAAAGGGCAACTTTGGAGTTCTTGATACCTCTAATGTTCCCATGATAATAACAGTGCTCTCCGCCCTAAGGGTGTTAAAGAAAAAATAACCAATTACTTTCAGACATTTCCCTTACACTGGAATAACTAACTGATCCTTTGCTGATGAAGAAATTTGGGTGAGAGCCTAATTCAGGGGTGGGCAAAATATAGCCCGCAGTCTGAATCCTGCCTGCCAAATGATTTTACCTGGCCCATGGCTGCTCCTCTGAAGGAGAACTGTATCTGACCCATGGCTGTCCTGGAGTTCGGTGCCTTTGCTCTTCTCCCTTCCTCATGCCAGCCTGCTGCAGCAGCAGCACCAACTCACTCCCCTCCCTGGCTAGACCGTGTTGTCCCACCTCCCCAGTGTATCTCCAAGGCAGGGAGCATGGAGCTCCTGGCTAGGCTTCTGACCCTGAGGCCAACAAATGGAATCTCAGGTAAGGTTCTCCCTGCTGGGGGGAGGAGGTGCACAGGGAAGAAGGCCAGGTGCCGCTAACACAGTGGCATGCCATGTTCCTGCACAAAGCTGCACCACGTGGCCTCAGCTGGAACAGCTGGCATGGCTCCTGCCCAACCCTGGCTTGGCTTCTGCCTGACCCTAAGTCCCCAGTACATGCCTGGGTTGGACAGGAATGGCACCAGCTGCACATACATGGCCCATTGTGGCATACAGGAACACAGTGCAGCACTGGCTTGGTCACATGCTGGGGACTGAGGTGCTGACCCGGAGCAGGGGAGGGGTTGCAGGGAGAAGGGGGCCAGGAGCCACAGGTCATTTAGACCCAGTCGGGCTAGTGCCACACTGTGTTTCCCCTACTTCTCCCTGAACTTCTTTCCTCACCTCAAATCTCTGGCATGCAGCTGAGTCAGGCAGGAACTGTACCAGCTGCACCCACATGGCCTGAGACAATGCATGGGAATTCAGTACAGCACAAGTTCAGCCTCATGCCAGGAACTCCAGGCAGGGGAGGGGGTGAGGGAGAAGAGAGGAACAAAGATTAGGTTCCCCTAATCATAGTTCTTTCTGCCTTTAGGTCAGGGGCGGGCAATTATTTGGGCCACATAGGAAGTTTGGGTGAGCTGTTGCAGGATGTGGGGGGTGCTGACCTGGTCCACAACAGCTCACCCAAACTCCCTAATAATTGGCCTAATTCAGGGATCAGCAACCCCTAGCATGCATACCAGAGCATGGCACACAAGATCATTTTGCTCAGCACGCCACAGCTACCCAGGCTCTGGGCAGCTGCTGCCAGCCATGGAGCTGAGCTGCTCACAGAATGCGATGGGGAGCAAGCCCTGATACAAGCAGCCTAGGCTCTGTGGCAGGCAGCAGCTACCCAGAGCTTAGGTTGGGTACAGTGGGCAGCCAGGAGGCTGCAAACAGCTGTACTGGGGTCCAGAGCCTTGGAACTGGCTCCATGGCAGTGACAAGTGCATGTGTACCTCCAGGCAGATGGCGGGGGAAGAGACCAGGGTTGCACTGATCCTGGCCCCTCCCCTGCCATCCACCCAGAGGCGCATGTGCACCTGCTACCAGCAATGAGGATTGGGCCCCTCACGGCTTCCCTGCCGTCTACCTCTGGCATTCTAAGGGGAGGCATGGGTCGAGGTTGGGGTGTTTTCGGTACTCAGCCCAAAAACATTGCTCATGGTCTAATTGCTACATTAGCAGTCACCAAGTCTTCTGATTGTTAACAAGAGGGCCTGTGCTGAGCAAAACTTACTTACATATGAACAGAGAGAAGTAGTTAGGCATGTTTGCCTGAAGTCAGGCAGAAGGCAGGTAAAGACACACCTTACAGACTAACTAAATTTAGTAATTCTTTTGTGGGTAGTGTAAATTTAGATGATCTATAAGGTGCATTTCTACCCTGCCTTTTGCCTCATTTATATATGGCTCCCATAGTAGAGACTAGTTTTCATTCTGTTAATCTATAAAAGGGTTGTCAAATCATCCAGCCCTTTGCTGGGCTGGTCTACAAAAAATGCACTGGGACTGACTGCCTGTGTTGCATACAGTGCTGCAGCACTGGGTCCAGCCCACATGCCATATGCAACAGGTGCCAGCCATGCTTTGGGGCTTCCACTGCACCGTTCACAGGACAGACCTGGTGCTGCATGCAGGACAGGGGGTCAGTCCTGGGTGCAGACTGCAGGCAGTGTCTTGCTGGACAGGCCCTGTTTTCTGACTGAGGGACCAGTCCAGATCAGGCTCCAAGCCACCTATGCATGCCAGAGCTAGCACACAGGGTTGGTCCAGCAGGGTGTCCCATGCAACCATGCCCCATATTCCTCATGCTGCATGCAGTGCTGGGTCCAGCCTATGCACCATGTACAGAGTGAGCCCCAGGGCTAGCATGTGCTGCACACGGGGCATGGACTCGACCAGTCACACACACTGCACTCAGGACAGGGAACCAGCACAGGGTGTGTGGTCAATGCATCTCCTTACAGGACCAACTCTGTTTACCAGCTCTGGCATGGCCCTGAAGCCAGTGTGCAAAGCTGATCTGGTGCAGGCATCACAAGACAGTGTGTGCAGTACCAGGTCCAGCCCATGTCACATGCAGAGCATAGGGCCAGCATCAGTGAGTGCCCTATGCAATGTGTGGATTTGGTCCAGAGACCAATGGGTCAGATCTGGCCAGCAGGCTATGTTTGGCCTATAAGTACCTTGCTTTCTGCCTTATTTATGCATGGCTTCCATACATAGCAGAGGCTGGTTTTCCTTTCTTAAAGTAACAGTGTTTTTAATTATGTTGTTCTTTAAAGAACAGTTCTTCTCTAAAAACTGACTCTGTGGAAATGGCATCATGGGGATCCAGGAACATCACAGTATATCAATATTTTTCAGATTAAAACTGTTGAAATTACATGCAAAATTTTGTTTGCCCTGGTTTTGGCTATGAAAATTCTGCCTGGAATCCTAAAATCAAGCTTATTTTTGTTTTCCTTAAAATCAATGTCAATAAAACTATTTTGTAACTCAAATTTAGTTAGTAACACTGTTGATGATGTACAAGACAGAGACAGTCCAGCTAAATCATCTAAAACTGCTAACTGCACTATGCCATAATACAAATGTACCTTTTTTGCAAAAGTAGATATACAAGCAACAGATCATTTGAATAAAGGGGCTGTTTTTACATACCAGCATTCAATTTTCAAAGAAGACCCAGCTTTTACTTACAGCTCTTTATTTAAAGAGCCAAAAGTACGTTAGGAACTTTAGTGACAGATAAAAATGTGAAGACCATACCCCACAGAACTTACAGAGTAAGACTCAAAAGCAACTTAGACACATAAGACCATGTCTATCTCGACATAAAGTGCACATTTAAGCTCACACTGGAGTACAAATTATGACCAGGCCTGCCCACATCTACACACAACTACCAGCACAAACATTCCACCCAACGGAGTACTCTAGTTATGTTAGTACTGTTCATACATCATGCTAGAGTGTACATCTCGCTGCTGTATATAGTCCAGGTTCTCTCTCATCTAGTATGATGGAACGCTTCTAGTAAGTGGCAGGGGCAGGAAGAAGGCACAGAAGGGAGGGACCAGCCTGACACTGCCATCAACCAAGCTAAGCCCAGGTCCTCGTGTACTCACTCCCCACAGTTAGAACCCTCTGGAAACAGGCATGGGAAGGAGGGACCTGTCCACTGTCCCCGCTGCCCCTGGTTGACCTGGGCACGGAAGCAGACCGAGGGCTAATCCTAACCTGCTCCAGCCAGGGGCTGTGTGCAACAGCTGTGAAGAGTCCCAGACTCAGCAGGGGATGGGCAGCACAGGTAAGGCACTCCTTGTGCCTGCTCCCTGCCTGATCCCTCCTGCTTTACCCCAGTAGCCTGGGGGCTCCAACTGCAAGATGCAGCTCCACAAGGTGCAGGACTCCACCAGAAGTGGTGGCAATGAGCAGATACCTGCTACCATCTTCCTGCCTCTCCCCTTCCTGTTTAGTCCTGCAAGTCTAGGGACTCCAGCTGCAGGGAGCAACTGCACAGGTTGCTGGGCTTGGCTGATAATAACAGTGGTAGCAGACAGGTTCCCTCTTCTTGCAACTACTCCCTGACTGGCCCTTCC